TTGAAATTTGATTATGATCTAGTTTTGAGAGACGTTTCTTCAAAAGAAAGTTTTGGAAAACACGACTTATTCCGATTTTTGACGTTTTAATGACGTTTTAAAACGTCACCCGTCCCCAAAGGGTTAACAAAAAAAACATGAAAATCTGCTTTACTATGTTAAATAATAAAAGAACTGGCTACAATGAAAAAATTCAGTTTATTTCGTGCGTACTATGGTATAAATAAAACACATTCATTCAGACATGAACACAGCAAACATATTTCAGCATATTTCTCTCATCTTAAAAACGATGACTCTCATATATATATTTTTTTTGCTACAGCATAAAATCTTATGTAAAGAGAAAAGTATTTTTTTATAGTGTGTGGCTGAATAAATATAGAATTAATTAGTCTCACGTTTAATGTACGTATGTCAAATATCTAATTCAACAAATTTGTAATGGATGAAATAATCTAATTTAATATCTAAAAGCATTGAAAAGTTCGTTTTTAATCTTGTAAGATGTTTCATTTGAGCGTTGTACGAATATGGAAAAAACAACAACAGACAGTTTCAAGTCAAAGTAACATTTTTTTTTATTCGTTACATACAGAAGATGAACAGTGACAATAAACATCTTTTGTACTTTGTTTTATTTTTATTCTTTGACTATATTAGTGTATGTGTGTGAGATGTATGTGTGTGAGATGTATGTGTGTGTGAGAGAGAGAGAGAGGGAGAGAGAGCGAGAGAGAGCGAGTGAGTTATTATGTTTACGACTAAGAGCATATTTTCTTGTTGTCTGTTGCTTAAATAGAATCGAGTGGAACATAATACTAATGAAAAATATCAAAACAATCCTGCAGAAGTTGATTCAATTTTTGAAAATAGAGAAAAACAGTCTTCATGACCATAAGTATGATGAGCTTTTACATTATCTATTATTGAGCGAAAAATTTACGTCCATATCTGGATCTTAGTAGTTAAAACTAAAATAAAAAAGATACAGTCAAATACAGAAAAAAAACTAAGATAAACTAACTAAGTCCATTTAGTTTAAAGGAAATTTGGTAACTAAAACGAGCTGAAATAATCCTGCAAAGTTTAATAAATAAAAGTTAGGAAAAAATGTATTTCACAATCAATGAATGCTCTATTTAAACGAAAACTCACTTCTATTCAATCGTCCTGTAAGTGAAACTGCTTTGTGAACACACAAAATTAAAATGAATAACATGATAAACGATAATTTTAAGAAGGCATTATTGTCTTCGTTTATTAAAACTTTCATCCATAATCTAGTCTATGTTAATAAAAAATTGTTGCTCTTGTCGATATTAATGAATGGACATTATTACATATCTGCCCTAAACATCTTTTGATTGTATTTGTTTTCAATATTTGTTGATTGATGTTTATTTATCTATCCATTCCCTTTCATTATGGTTAATTTGCGATACAAAATATTATCTGTGATTGTACTACATACTAATGTTGCAGCAGTAAAAACATATTCGTATGGAATATTGACATAGCGGAGTAGTTAGAAAAATAATAAACACATCGCACTAAACTAACAGTTTTAGAGAAAAACTAGTATGATAAAAAAATTCATTCATGAACGCTGTATGCATAGAATGGGTTTTACAGAGAATATCACAGCTTTTCGCACACACCTGGTTTATCAATGCAATTGATATAATAGCACACTCGTACTTTGTCAAGATAATAAATTACATTTCCATTTCTCAAACATCGTCGGACAAAATAGCATCATCAAAACTATTTAAACATGCGAAAATATTCACGAGACATCTATCTTTGATTTGTACACGTTAGAAGACAAAAGTGACTGACGACGATGTTAAATTATCAATGATATAATTAAATTGTTTATACGAAATTTAAGATATTTTAAAAATGACGAATTGAAACGACGCTACATTCTCGAGTAAAAGATAATATACAGTAAGTACACTTACTGATTATTTGATCCAAAATATGTATAAACAATTCCGAGACCAAATAATAATTCAGGAGTCTAGAAATAGAAAAAACAACATTTAAACGATAATTCAACTATCAAAGACGTTCTATGACAGTGGAAAAGGAGAGAATTATTCTTTTCACAAATTTGCTTTCAAACAATCCGTAATAAAGAGTAAATTTCATCCATCCACGCATGCAAATTGTGAAAGATCTTTGCATACAATCAGTAAAACAAACACAATATCAAACGTTTTCTTGATGTGCAATTTGGTCTAAATCGATTCCCTCCAAGGTTCGAAGTATTTGATCTGCCCTCTCTATCCGTACAGTTTCATGAAACCGTTGAGGGATTATGGGGAACAAGCAGGCATCCACATTATGTGTTCTAAGATGCAAACATAACGTCTAGAAACGTCAGAGCACATTTCTCTAGTCAGACGATAAACTGGCCATAGAAGAGTTGATAGTGATAGCTGAGTACTGATTAAAGTTGACTTAGTAATCAGTCCGCAAGATTCTAACAGTTCTAACACAGTTTTGTGATCATGAACCTTTTTAAACGTAAAGCTCTCCAACCCTTCATAGACAATACGTTCAACTGTTGTATATTTTTGAGTATGAAAAAGCTTAATTTTTTGTGGCAAATGATATCCTTTTTCAGTTGTATCAATAATTGTTTTCTGTTACATTTTTCTTTTTTGTTCAGTTGTCTATCCTACTATGGTGAGGAATATGTACTTAGTTAATGCTTATGTGGAAACTGCATAACTTCACTTCTGACACAAAAACGTTTCTTATAGTTGAATGAAACATCCTTTTACAACAAATTCTAGTTTAATTATCTTTTGTGATTGTCTGTTACTCTGAATGCCTAGAAGAATTTTTTACGATAGTTGAGACTCTTGGATAAAATGTTTCTTTTTTTTGCTTGGCTGTTATTCGCAGAAAAGACGAACATATTCATTTTCTTATTGTTATGTTAAAAGTATCATTCCTCTATATTTTACAACGATTATTAGAAAACTACTGAATATGAAGCTCACCGTTATAGTAACTCACAGCGTTTAAAATGCTAAATCAAGCAGTTAAGTTTCCATTCTTTCCTTTCAAGTCACAGTTAATGCTCAACTCATACATTTTTTATTTGTTCTAAATATACACAGCTAGTATACAGCTTAAACATTTTTACTACTGACTATTGATAGGATAAGTTTCATGATAAAATACCATATCAAAAGATTATTTTAATAAACATATCGAGAGAAATGCGTGTATATAGCAAAAATGAAGTGGATCAGTGTATCAACAAACAGTTTGAAAAAGAAATTATGTTAATTGTTGTTGAAGACTATCACATACTTGATTTAGTTTTGTACGTATTGCATAAGCAGCTTGATAAGCTGAAAGAGCTAAATAAATATAAACACATAATTAATTATGCAAATATAAAATTAGGATAAGAATAAAAGGTACAATACCTTTGCTGTAATCATTCAAAAGTAAATGCCAATGTCCAATATTAACATAAGATTGAGCTAAAGTCAATGGATCATTTTCATTTTTCACTTTTTCTTCGTAAAATTCAATTGCCTACAATTTACAATAGTTTGAGGTAAGATGAGATACATTTTGACTCTTTTTTGTTTTTTATCAGCTCCTTTCGGTTGGAAAAAGTACTATTTTTCCTATTGAACATAATGATAGAGCAAACATTTTTCTAGGCTGTCGCAAAAGAATCATCTGAAGTTGTGTGATCTCTCATTCTAAAGGAGAACGTGTCCTTTCTAGGATTATAGATTGAAATTTTGTTTGTCTCAAATCGACATGTTTTTTTAGAAGTTATTTGACTCTCTCAAGCAAAGAACTTGTTTTGGACTTAGCTCAAACTAGCTAAAAAGAGCAGTCGAAAAGTAAAAAAGTTTTTGCTTTGCTATCGTGTAATAGTTTCCCCTAAAATTTGCGCGAACAACAGTATAGTAGTGACACACTAATAACGGCAAAATCTCATCAGATATAATCGTGTAATAAACTAACAGCTCATGAAAAAGATTTTTTTTTTATGGGGCTAATGGATCATGTACTAAAACGCATTGGAGAGTGCATGAGCAGTTCAATTTTTCCCTAACACTGTGCTGAATAAGCTCTTGGTCAATTTAGACTTGTTCACTTTCAGAATTTAAGGAATTAAGGATAAAACTAAGGTTATTTTGCATCACTTTCGGACAATTTTCACATATGTGATAGAGTTAATCAACTTAGTTAATTGGCATAATATCAAACTCAACTTATGCGATGGTAGAGGTTTCTCTCTCAGAAATCCGTATATTTTCACCAACTTTCTGTTTTTATGCTAAACTACTCTAGATAACAGAGAGATATGATGAGAGAAATACATCTATGCAAGATATGTTGCAATAAATGGCATTCAACGTTCAATTCTTATTCATCTACTGATTTATTGCTACTCTTTAGAAGAAAAATCATTTAGCAATTATAACAGTTACTAATAAACTAACTGTTCGTTTGAATCAATGATATATAATCAAGCAATATCTTTAATGAGATTTCAAAACAAATGTGGCATCGCTTAAAAGCAAAACAAGGTCGGTTGGGAAAGAGTATTAACAAATACAACAGAAAACGATACTTCATTTTCTAATGCATTGGTATTTGTGGACTCGATATTATATATAGAGTATTACAGAATACTGTGATATCATCGTCGAACAGTAAAACACGCTGCCGTCTTCAAAATATTCGAAGTTATTATAAAAAAAGCAACCCTTCTGAATATAACACATTCGTCCTAAACACATCGTCCTCTTCCAAATTTGACTTCTTACAACACTATGACTCTTTTACACTCCTCAGCCGGACTGCTTTTAACTTTTGATGCAGAAGATGAGCTTCTTTCCAGATTGGGTATATTATACCGTTAGTGCTATAGTACAAATTTATGATGAGAAATTTTAAAAATGTTTCTTTTTCGCAAACATTTAAAGTTCTTAACGGGTTTTCCAGACGATCTTTGGAAAACTAGTTTGGATTTCTGAAAACTGACATAGAAATAGGTCGATTTTTTTCCACAGATAGATGGTCTAGAGTGTCCTCTCCAAAACAGAAACTAAGCGAACTCGTAGTTTTTCGTGGTTTAGGTGTGGTATTGGGTTTTCTGAGAGTCCCAGGATCACTATTTCCTTAGATGTGGTAACTTCGACAATGAATGAAAACATAGGTTGTTGACTATGCTGAACCTCGTGGTAACGTTTGTTTTTCAAAAACATTTCAAAAACCTAGTAGAAGCCTATATTAGGTGAAATAAGCCATATTTGTCTATTTCTGAGTAAAATTAAAAATTCATAACTCAGTCAAAATTCATCCAAATTATGTTCTGGTATCAAGATATACTCTATTTTACCTGCTCTATATGTTCTTTTACTTGAGAATAGTAAAAAGTATTCTTGTACTTTGGAAGATTTGCAGAAAACCTTTTCAAAAGCAGAATTTTCTGTTGTTTTTAAAACTTTAGTTGGACTGCATCATGCCGAGCAGGTAAAATAGAGTATATCTTGATACCAGAACATAATTTGGATGAATTTTGACTGAGTTATGAATTTTTAATTTTACTCAGAAATAGACAAATATAGCTTATTTCACCTAATATAGGCTTCTACTAGGTTTTTGAAATTTTTTTGAAAAACAAACGTTACCACGAGGTTCAGCATAGTCAACAACCTATGTTTTCATTCGTTGTCGAAGTTACCACATCTAAGGAAATAGTGATCCTGGGACTCTCAGAAAATCCAATACCACACCTAAACCACGAAAAAGTACGAGCTCGCTTAGTTTTTGTTTTGGAGAGGACACTCTGGACCACCTATCTGTGGAAAAAAAATCGACCTATTTCTATGTCAGTTTTCAGAAATCCAAACTAGTTTTCCAAAGATCGTCTGGAAAACCCGCTAAGAACTTTAAATGTTTGCGAAAAAGAAACATTTTTAAAATTTCTCATCATAAATTTGTACTATAGCACTAACGGTATAATATACCAAATCTGGAAAGAAGCTCATCTTCTGCATCAAAAGTTAAAAGCAGTCCGGCTGAGAAGTGTAAAAGAGTCATGCATTTTTTGGACTGAAGAAAATTCAGATCATATTTCTTACGATTATGAGACCACATAAAGTGTTCGATTCTCCAGTTAGAGAAGTTATACTGCTGATGACTTGTTAAAAATTTTTTCAATTTCGACTTCTTTCAATAAGAACAAAATGGCAAGTGATCACGGAAAAGTGGCATAATTGAATTCTCATATTAAATTTCAATAAAAATACCACAAAAGATCCAGTTTTTAAAAAAAAATATTTCCAACACTATGGATCCCGGTTAGTCTCTAGTAAGGAAAGAGAAAACTATTTCTCTAACTTTTCATAGGTGCTACTAACTACCTTCTCCAGAGTGTCGATTTCACTCGTTGAAGAGTTTAAAAATATTTTCTAAAAGTTGAAACAGTTATAAATCACTGTATTTTAAGCTCTTTAGTGATTCTACTGCACACCTTTAACACATTTGTGTTTTATTGAGTATAAATAGTACATAAAAATGCACTTAACTGTGCAGATCAACTTAAATATTCGTTCACTCTTTAAATGAGGTCGCATCCGCTTTTTTTGGTCGTCCACGTTATAGATGTATAACTCGAATGCGGATTACGTACGGTTTGCATTTTTTTAAAGTTTCTTAAAGAAAAGCTGATGTCATTAATTTTCTGTTATTTCTATTAAGACATAAATCAGATAAGGTGTGTATGTACATTATTAAGATCATTTTAAACTAAAAATCATTTATTTATTAAGCGAACTTTCCATGTATGACTTATATCATCTTCTTCGCACTAAAACTAATTCGACATGTGTGAGATTGATATATTCATTGTTCTGAGAAGTATCTCTTTCATATGTTCACACAATACCGATCAAAAAATGTCGGTGTTAGATTAAATAATAGACACTAACGTAAATATTCAATATTGTATTGACATTATGTTCTGAACATATGAAACAAATATTTCCTGGAACAATGGAAATATGTCAGACTCTTGATTCTCTACTATATTTGTGCAATTTTAATATTTTTTGTTGTTGTTTTTTTTCTCGGATATAGATAAGGTAGCATATATTGTTTTTTTTTTGGGTACTGTTACAAAGTTATTATATCAAGGTCTAAAAACTGAATCCGTGCACATTGCTGGTCCGCATTCTTTTCAATTTCCAGTTTCGTAGAATCCTACATTGTATACGTTTTTTCGATAGTGACAGTGAAAGGTGAGAGAGATAGTCTTTTCTTTCCTTAATAGAGTCTAACCGGGATTTATTGTGTTGTTGACAAAAAAAAGTAAGCATTCTGAGATCTTTTTTGAAATTTTCATATACAGGCTCAATTATGTCATTTTTCCAAACTCAAAAATCTTACTCTCCTTTTCAATAAAGCCAAACTATTTAAGATGTTAAAGACGATCACATTTTTAATCAAAATAAACGACGTAATCGTGTTGTTCGTTAAAAAATGAGCTGCTTCTCAGAATTGTTACGCGACCAAGAAATGTGGTTATTTTATTTTATTGAAAATGTGATCGAAATTTTGACACATTTTCAGAGATGTAAGTCTGTCATGACTTCGATGTTTTCTCGCTTCGAGAATTTGTCGATGTTTACGTGAACTCTTTTCTTAAAAACTGAACAAGTCATTTTTCTACTAACCGACAAAAGAAATTTCTTTCTATTTGCTTCGTTTGGTTTGTCGAATTGAATTAAACCATACAAAAGACTAAAATAAAGAAACAAAAAAAATAAATAGCTAAGATACAGAAAGTGTTGAGTCAATTAGAATAGTTTCCTTTAATTAAAGTTCTGTTAAAAATGTAAATAATATATTGATGTAACAGTATTACCTACGAGTTCATGATAATACTTGATTTTAGTTTTTTTTCATAGAACAAAATCTTTTTCCTTGTAGTCAATAGTATTCATAGAGTATATAAATTTATTTCTGTCTAGTATCTGAGTAGAACTGGATTTAAGATGTTTAAGTGTACTATTTGTTGTACCAAGACAAAGAAAATATTCTTCTATTAATCTAGATAATACTCGAATAGATTACATCTGTATCCTCAAGATACGTGTATATCGTATAAACACTCATACTTTTGAATTATTCTAAAGGTTAAAAATCGAATAACTGAAATATCATGTACCAGTTTTCTGTAAACATATTCTATAAATTATCCACCACTAATAAATCATATATGGTTTTTATTTTCAGATGAAAAATAATGATAACTAATAATATTTTATTGTTGCAGTGAAAAGCTGACACATTTGACAATTTGTCTATTTATCTGTGTAGAAAATAAAAAAAAAGAAGAACTATAAGAATCAAAGAAAAGCTTAAGATTTTAAAGAGAGTTGTCATACAATGATATACATACATTTATACAAACAGATATAAACTGATAGTTTGTCTATTCATACACAAAGAAAAAAACCAAAGAAAAGAAAGAAACGTCAACGAAACGATCAAAAATGTACAATATATATGTATAACTTTATCTATTAGCTATTGTTGTTTTGCCTTCAGCAGCATAAACACTTTGATAAAAGGAAAAAAACGTTCACCAAAGTACAAGCAAAAGATCAATATTTGATTTTTTTGTTTTTTGAACGAGTAAATCGACTATGTTTAGCTTTCATTTTAGATATAATAGAATGCATCTTAGACAGTAAAACAAAATCTTATTTTCTGTCAAGAACAATGATAAGATAAGTAATTGATATCAGTTTCTAAGCAATAACTCTTAGAAAGATATAAGAAACAAACAGTAAAATAACGGAAAAATTTTTTGGAAAGAGAGAAAATCTATCTTTATGAAAATTATGATTTATACGATTGGAGTTGAATTTTTATAGATTATGAAATGAAATTGCTTTTGGTGGTAGAAATATTCTACAGTTTATAGCAATGATCAAGATCCTCTCTCAATATGAAATTTAATTATACGTTTAATGTTTCAATGAAAAGATTCGACTGTCTATTGAATGTTTCAATATACTCTTCATGAATGAAGCTATCCTGATAACTTTTCATTATTTATATGGTTATTTTCCCACAATGAGATAAAGATGACTCTTTGGTTTACTCATATGTCGAACATATGTCTCACTGCGGTAGAGAATGCTATCAAGATGGAAAATAGACCATTATCTTTTTTTATCTAACTACAAATTACGCAAAAGAACAATCATAGAATGATTAACCACTATAAATAGTAATTATAAATGATTAAATTAATCTATACCGATTTTGATCATAATGAAAGAAGGAAAAAATAGTAGATAGAGTTAAATAACGAATGAAAGAATTGATCACTTTATATAAAAGTTATTGTATCTTCGCGTTGTTGATCTACTCTCTAAAACATGTACACATACACACACACATATAGCCATTCTTTGTTTCATTTCATGTTAAACATATCAATTTTTCTCTCTGGTTTGTTTCTTTACTATTTATACAGAAATATATTTGCATGAGCGAGAGAAAAAAACAAGACAGAGAAAAACTATGCACATTGTGTTGTATATATGTGTGTAAAGATAGAGAATCGAAAGCAAGTATTATTAGACACATATAAGAAATTAAACTTTTTATTAAAGAAAAGACTAACAAAAGAAAAAGAAAATAATATTGTCAAAATATGCATATACAGTAGTGTTGTAGTACTTAGAAAAAAATGACCGAAAAACAATAATGATTATCTATAGTGATAATGACAAAATATGAAGAGTCGACTATTCTTTTAAGGAAATACGATTGAACGTCTTTAATAGAATCAACAGTCTTTCTTGTAGTTTATATTAACTAGTATAAAACTAGTGTTAAAGAATAAGTGTAGTATGTTATCTAAAAAATATATTTTAAAACATTCTTTTGATTCTGTTATAACCTATCTTTTTTTCCATTATAATTGTTCTTAAAAAATGAAGTGCCCGATCTTTTGGTAACTTGCGAACAAGTATTATTATCAGTTAAATTGTCAATTTTTTTCTTTTGAAAAAATTAGTAAAAGAATCTATGTTTTGATAAATTATCTATGCCATGCTTTCAAAAGCTTCTTTTTTTTTGTTTTGTTTTTTATAAAATCTTGGACGAGAAATAATTCTTCTAACACCAATAAAAGGTGGAATTGTCAAAGATAATAAATAAGAAACATGCACAAGATATTTAAAATATTTTTTCTGTTTCGATTCTTCTTCTTCATTATTTCTTCTTTTTTTTCCTTTTCATCATCAACGAAATCAGTGTATGTAAGTTTTTGTTCGAATAAGAATTATTCTCATCCTATCATTAGTAGAGTATACTATAGACATACTCTAAAATATTTAATAATTTTCTAAAGTATCGTATCTGTTTCTTTATCTCACATAAAACGAAATCAACTTTGACCAAAAAATGTGAAGATTTTGATTTCTTTTTTTTTTAAAGAAAAATCACTAAATATCTAATCTCATTGAGAATGTGAACATTTTAAGGATATACTTTTCAATCAGTTCTTGGTTATAAAAAAAAGAATTTGTCGACGCTCATAGATCTGTGTAATTGTTAGAATACAAAAATGTTAAGATGTGAAAGAAAAGAGAATATAGGAAAAACGTGTGCAATAGAATAGAATGAGACAAATAAGTGTGTACGTTTTGTATAGCTATATGAGACTTGTTTGTGAGTGTTTTTGACAGTACGAGTATAGATATATTAGTACTATCAGCATATATGTATATGTTGAACTTAAAAGTAGAGAGAACGAATACAATCGTACAATATACCAACGAATGATGAGCAACATCTGTAGCACTAATATTTTGATCCATGACAAATGTAGCACAATAATAAATATCGATTAACATTAGAGAAAGAAATGAGAACATATATTTATACAAGCAAGACAATCGATAAAACTAAGTAAGTATATTTTTGAAAGTGCAAGTAGTTAGTTTATCAAACTCTATCTGTAAAGATTTAGAATTTA